ACCTGCACACATGCATGCAGTACCACACATACACACAGAGAAAAGTGAAAATTTAAGTTCTCTAGTTAGTTACTCTCTGAGAAGCCCCTCTCTCTGTACAGACGAAGAAACAAAACCCAGAGAGGATGTAGGTCGAGGTCTCATAACTGTTTAATAGTATAGCTTTTACTGAACACACAGTTCCTAACATTTGCTATTTGTCCCACACCACACTGCCTTTCCTGTGAGTGTTTCTTTAAATTTTTATATTTGTTGTAACAAGGAACCCTCAGGGCCTGATTTTATAGAGAACTGGAAGACCAGTTACTCTGAAAGTGCATCACTTGGCTTCTCTCAGTTTTTCACTTTTAAAGTGGAATGAGAGCTTGTGTTACGTAAAGATGACTGCCATTAAAGTTAAGTCATTTTATAAAATTAAAAACATTTCAAAGAATTTATTTTTAGTATTTTTTTCAGATATAGAACCATTGTACAAAGCATATCATACTTAAATAAGATTGATTATAGTTGATATCTTGTTTGTTTTCATTCTATTGACCACTTAGCAGACATTGAGAATGTACATATTATCTATTTGTATTACTTTGGTTCTAACCATGTCTGTGAATGAGGAAAGAATTGTTTTATTGCCTTTTAACTGTTGCTTTTTTTTCATATGACATTTTTCTGTTATGTTTAGGGTTTTGGTGTTTTTAATTTTAAATTTTACAATCCATGTCATTTGTATAGTCTAAAGTTTTTTGTGAAATATTTTAGGTAGGCTTGATTGGTTTTGAGACAGGGTCGAACTCATTATGAGTCAAAGACCTTGAACTTGTGACCCTCCTGCCTATTGTGGGTGTGTGTTTCCATGCCCAGCTTATGTAGTACCGGGAGTTGAACTCAGAACTTCATGCATGCTTGGCAAGCACTCTTCTAACCTAGCTAGATCACCAGTAGATGATCACCTTTTTGAGAAAGGGTCTCACTGTGTAGTACTGACTGATCTGGGTCACACGGAGATTTGAGCCCAGGTCTTCCAATTTGTTGTTTTTGTGCTGCTCCTCAAGGTGATGGCATAGACTGCACAGGGTTGCTAAGATAATGCAAGCTCGAGGTTTTGTCAGCCCTTTCTCCATATGAGAATATAGTACATACAGAAGATTAACAGAAATAAAAATAAATAGTATCTCTGTACAGATGGCTCAGCCATTGAAGGCTAGGCTCACAACCAAAAAAGACAAGAAAAGTAAATACTAAAAGAGAAAGAGACTACACCAACAACTCTTTTTATGTGTGTGTGTGTGTGTGTGTGTGTGTGTGTGTGTGTCTGGAGAGATGGCTTAACCGTTTAGAGTGCATGTTGTTCTTGCAGAAAACTGGAGTTTCATTTCCCATCATCCACATTAAGTAGATGACAACTGCCAGTAACACTACAGGAGAAACAATACCTCTCACTTTTACAGGACCTGCATTCGGGCACATACCTATGCACACATAATTAACATAATTTAGAAATATAATGAAAACTAAATCTCTAAAAAGTTGCATTGCAGGTTGTTTAATAAGTATTATAGAATTCAAGTTATATAATAGTCAGGTATAATATCTGTGAGAGAAATAATTCAGAATCCTGGCATCTAAGGATTTGGCCTTAGTTTTCTTGAATATCCATTAACTCATGTAGTTTTGTTGAAACAGACTTGAGTGTTATTGAATGTTATGTGCTGTGGGGTTGCTGTCAGGGAAGCCAGGCTGGCATGGTTAATAGTCACACTCATCTATCTGGACAGCAGATTACACCTCAGCCTTGGTTCTAAGCTCATGTTTGCTGTCTGTTATTCACATGTAACTACAAGGAAACAATCTATGTACATGCATAGATTGTGTTTGTTTTTGTGTTTGCATGTGTGAAATGTTACTCCAAGGAGAAAGTGCCATAGGCAGAGGGGAAACTTTTACAGAGTATTATTTGATTTTAAAAAAAAATGTTTATTATTGCTATTACTACACACTAGACAGTTAAAACTTAAAGGGAATAAAAGACTTAGTTTGGCTCTTGACTTCAGAGGTGTCAGTCCGTGTGACAGGAAGGACACGATGGTGATTAAATAGTTCTCAGACATAAGTGTTCTGAAGTGAAAACTGGGAAGTATATTGAAGAAATTCTAAGGAATCCCTCAGGGGTCATTTTTGTAGTAGAGAATTAGAATTTCAGCTTATGGAACAGGTGGCGTTTGTTTTATTATGTGTCTTTTATTCCATTTATGGGGTAGTTCAAGGTTCTCCGTTACAGATTTGTCTCAAGTGGTCCACTTACCTGCAATATTGAAATAAATGATAAAGCAGAATGACCTGGTTAGCCACGGATGACCTTGAACTTCTGGTCCTCCTGCCTCCACTTCCCAAGAACTAGGGTTAATAGGTTTGACCTACAGCTGGTTCACAGTTGGGGCTGTTACACACAGCTCATTTTTCTTTATTTTGAACTTACTAGTTCAGTAGTGAAAACAGCTTGTCTTCAGTTGGCACACGGCCTTCTTTTTGGGTTTTTCGTGACAGAGTTTCTCTGTATTGTTTTGGAGGCTGTCCTGGAACTCGCTCTGTAGACCAGGCTGGTCTCGAACTCACAGAGATCCACCTGCCTCTGCCTCCCAAGTGCTGGGATTAAAGACATGCACCTGGCCGACATAAAACCTTCTTAACAAAAGACTTCAAATAGAGGAACTGTGTCATAATGAGGGATTATAAACTTATGATTATAAAAATGTGTGTGTCCTTCTGTGGAAAACTTAAAAAGATTATAAGGATTATTCCAGTGCTAATCCTGATTGATATTTTGTTAATGCAAGAAGTGTCTGTTACTCATTTATTCATTCATTTATTAAGCATTTAATGAGTATCTCCTGTGTGCTAGGTACTGTACTAGCCTCTAGGGAATCAAAGATGCATCAGACCCAGTCTCTACCCCTGGGAACTCATGCCGCTTAGAGAAGTAGTAAACAAATAAATGTGATATCCTCTGAGATAGTGAGAGTTTATGTGAAAACCTTTTCTTTCTCTGTAGCACAATATCTGAAGTGCTTTAAATATTAGATTCCTGAATGAACTGATGTGAGGGCATAGTATTATAATGTAAAGAAGAATTGGAGTTTCTTGTATAGACAGGTGCATGTGAGGAAACTTCATAAGGGTACAGGGTACAGCTTTTGAGCTAGACTTTGGGATGTGTAAGTTGTTTATGTTAAGAACTATGAGGGGTTGGAGAGAGGGCTGTGTAACTTAGAGCTCCAGAGGATCTGATGCCCTTTAGGATCTGATGGCCTCTACAGGCACCTGTACACACACACACACACACGCACGCACGCACGCACGCACGCACGCACGCACGCACGCACGCACACACACACACACACTTACACATACACCTTTAAGTTTTTAAAATTGTGAAAGGAGATCTTAACTAAAGAGCAGCTAAGAACCATCAAAGTGCCTCGATCTGGATCAACCATAACTATAGGCTCATGCCATGTGCAAGCCACTTTCACTTGGATTGTTTCTGTGAGCTTTATGGTATGAAACGTCCATGAGATGGGTTCAGATAGCCACATGCTCTAACCTTGACCATGATGCAGGTTGTAGTCCTGGCTAGCTCTTAGCTCCATATGTAAGAGGATTCAAAAACCAGTTGCTGAGTGCTATTTTGTAAACGTGTTTGTTTGGTGGGGACAAGGTCTCTTGTATGCCAAGTTGGCCTTGAACTCTTTCTGTAGCTGAGGTTAACCTTCAAACTTCCAGTCCTCCTGCCTCTACTTTCCAAGTGTTGCAGTTAGAGGAATATACCACTGCACACAGTTCATATATCCTACCAACTGAGCTACACTCCCAGTCCTCCGATCCTTTTAAGACATTCCTGTAACAGAAAATAAATGGAAACTCTGAAGCATTTCACTAATGTTATAGTTCAACACACCCGTTGACTCTAAATTCTTTATTTTACCTACTAAGATGTTTAATCAAAATACTTTGAAGTAAGCTGGGTGGTGGTGGTGCACACCTGTAGTCAATCTCAGCACTCAGGAGGCAGGAGCAGGTGGATCTCTGAGTTTGAGACCAGCCTGGTCTTTGTAGTGAGTTCCAGGACATCTAGTTACTATCTCTATTACTTTTTAAATTTTTAATTGTAGGACTTATGCAAGGTGTTTATGGCATTCTTATGGAACTCACCTTTATTGAACTTTATATCACTGTTAAATTGAAACCTCTGTGTTCTGTTTTATAGAGTGAACAGAATGATTCTTTTGGAAGAACGTGCCTGGGAAAATTTATGTATTTGTTTTTGTGCTATTCCATGCCTTACACCTGCCAAGTAAATGCCGAATTCTGGAAATTTGTTTCTGTGCTTTCTGATGTTAAGCTTGGTAAAGTCCCATTACTAAGTCCCAAGCTTACCTCTCTGTACATTCCTCCTGGAATGGCTATTTCTAACCGTGTGAGGTGTTGGAGGCATATTTGTTCTTTGTTCACATTCTTGGATTCTGAACTTTCAGGAGCTGAGATTTAGTATTTGTTTAAAAACAAAAACAAAAAAACCCCAACTATTTCCCCAAATAGGAAGGAACTTTGAGGTTTGAATACTACTAATTAGAGACACCAGAACTGCATTTATCTCAAAAAGTTGCTTGTAATTCTTACCTTTTGAATGGATAGTAGTGACAGCTTTATCTAGATTGAAGAACTTTCATTTCTTGATGCTGTTATTAAAACTTGACAGACTTTAATAATAAGGAATGTCACAAGAAACCCAGAAAGTTTAAGTTGAAAATAAAAGCAAAATGTAAATTACTTCATGTATGACTGAATTAATATTTGAGTTCAGGATTTTCTCTAGATGTGCTAAAAAATCTTAATTATTCTATGTACAGAAAAGGCTATAAAGTTTATACACATAGAAAAAAATAAATATTTTTAAATGTAAGTTTAATCACTTCCAAAACTTAAATTTTCTTTCTTTTTTTCAGCTCTGATCGTCTGATAGAAGAAACAATAAGGTAGGAATAGTTTTTCTTTTACTTCATTGTTGTTTGTATACTTAATGAACAAATCATGCCAACCCTATTCACTAGAGTGAAGATCAAGTCATGCTCCTTAGAGATGGGGATTTCACTAGATGGTGATGTGTGTCTACTGTGTTCTTCCTTTATAAGGGACATTTAATCTTCTTAGTAACTGGTTCATGAGTTAGACATTGATCAATAGATACTGTCTTCAAAATGAAAAGAAATTAAGGACTTGCCTGTAGTCACATGACTAATAAGTAATATTGAAAACTTACTGCTCTGAGACAGTGAGATGGCTCAAAGGATATAGGAGCCCACCACCAAATCTGATGACTGGACCCTTGGGGCCTATATGGTGGAAGAAGGGAACCAACTCCTGACAGTTATCCTCTGACCTCTGCATGCACATGTGGCACACACAAAAGCATGCACATGTACACATGCATGCAGACACAGACACACAAGGTAAATTACATTTGCAGGGAGGGGTTCGAGACAGGGTTTCTCTGTGGCTTTGGAGGCTGTCCTGGAACTAGCTCTTGAAGACCAGACTGGTCTCAAACTCAGAGATCCGCCTGCCTCTGCCTCTGGAGTGCTGGGATTAAAGGCTTGCGCCACCAACGCCTGGCTGGTAAATTACATTTTTTAGATAGGTCATTATACTTAATTCATAATACTGATAACGAAATCTGAAGTTCCAGTAAGCATATGAATGATTTATCATTTTAAAGCATTATATATTATATGAAGCTTATGTTTTATCTCTAAGTATTTGACACTTGAAATAATAGCCTACATTTCACTCAGCTCAACTCCAGATGATGGGATGAGATGGGAAAGTATGTCTAGATAGACTTTATGTGGTACTGGAAATCATGCATATTCAACAAGGTAATAACTTAAAGTAATATCAATTCTCCAAGGAATACAAAGTACTCTGTGGAAATTATTTTTTAATGTCTATCCACTTGTGAGTCAAAGTGCACATGAGATAAGGGTAGTCTCCCTCTAAAAAACAGGACTATATGTTTCAGAGTATCCTCATTACTCAGCCTGCGTTTGAATTCTGTTACTTTCTGTAAGACCATAAAGCTATTTAAAGTAGGAGTGCTTTGTTCAAGACCCTTGTTGTCATTTCAAGCAGAATTTGGTCAATTTCCATTTCTTCTGCTGCTTTCCTTTCTTCCCAAGACTTTCAGAGGATCCTCTGAGCCAGTGGCACATGCCTATAATCCCAGCATCCGGGAAGCTGAAGTCTCAGCTCCTAGATGATGGCCTGGATTCCAGGATCTTCATGACATTGCCTGGCCTTCATCACTGCTGTTTCTAAGACCACCGGTGTAGAGCCCGTGTGTTTTAGAGACAGAAGTGCTCATAGCCTCCCTTGGCCAGAGCCCCACAGCTAGTTTTCTGGGTCTTCTTGGCAGTATTGTAAAAGATGGCCCCATTCTTGTGATTCCTTCTACCTGTCGCCTGCTTGCCTGTCAGTAACTCTCATTTCCTTTCCTGGCTTCAGTGACCATCTCCTGACCTGCTCTTTGGACAGTTACTCCTTGCTTTTTCCAAACAGCCTGTGCCAAACTGAGCTCATCCTATGCCCTTTCTGAGTTTGTTCTTTGAGGTCACTGGCTTTGTGGGGTGTTTCTGATATTTTTGTTGCCCCATCCCCACCCCTACTATTCCTAAATGCTTCAGTAAATATCCTTTTAGGTCTCTCCTTACACATTCTTTGTCTTCTCAATCATGAGATTGAAGTATTGATTAATTTGTCCCTTCATTAGAACACCTTGTAGTTTGTTCTGAAGCTTTGCCCATGAAGGGCTGGAGCTTACCAGCAAAGATAGCCCCATGGATTGTCCCCTTCAGGAACCGAGCATTGCACTAATAGCCCATAAGTGTCTCTGCAAGTATAAGATCCAAGGGGAATTGAATCCATTACTGCAACCTCAGGACATAGAGTTCACAGGTTCCTATTGTTGGACTCCATGTGTTTCTTTGGGCCTCTTGCTTGAGAAGATATATGTAGCCCCTCCAGCCCAATATCTTCATTAGAGCCAGCAAGGGAACCAAGGCTTCAGATGGTCCTTCCCCAGCACAAGGGTTTTTGTTCTGATGTCACTCTGTGGAGGAAAACGGGCCAAGGGTAAATCAGGTTATCTAGCTACCATTTCCCCCCAATTTCTGTGACTCTTTAAAATAAATTTTAGGGTGTCTTTTATTTGACTTTCAAATATGTACAATGATTCTTGATCATATCTACCAAAAACTTACCCCTTTCAACTTTTTTTAATGTTAATATCTAAAGCATTCTCCTATGTGTTATATATCAAAGTTGGATACTAACCCTACCCTCTAGGAGTCTAATATCTGTGGCAGTCAAACTTGAAAATACACGATCATAGAAGTGATACCAAAAAGAGTATTATCTCAGATTCTCAACAGGATGTCAGAGTGGTCCCATGAAGAGGCTGCCTTCTCTGTAAAAGCAACTTTTCTCCTTTCACAGCTATGTTTAGTGAATCTCTAGATCTGCTAACTATGCCCTAGAATTTTGAAACCTCGTTTTCTTATATGTTGAGAGCTGGCTGAACGTGGATACATACTTGGCCTCTATTTTTATGGTTGTGATTCTTTGCTTTCCTTATAAACAGTTTTTCCTGATTAAAATTATTTTAATGGTTGGTCCTTTTTAAAGCCACTAGAAGCAGCTTTGTAATATATGAGTTGTCTTTTAATGTCTCATTTCATTAGTTACTTTGAAGAAAATACAAGATGACCCATAACAAAAAGACTTCATTGGATAACGGTGGGTTAAGTCAGAAAAGACAATGGCAAGGTAGCTGGGCACTGATTTGTACCCATTTCTTGCCTGGTCATTCTGGGATTAGTTGCTCACTGCACTTTTAGAAATGTGATGAACTGAGCAAGGTAATTCTCCAGTGCCAACTCAATTGTCTCTTTTCCCCCCACTTGAAGATTTTTAAAAAAAAAATTTTTATTTTTAAAAAAGTATTTTTTTTTTTTTTTTTTTTTTTTTTTTTTTTGTCTTTAAAAGCTCTGGGTCCAAGTTAGTACTCCCTGCATGTGTTGTTGTCAACCACCCCAACACTGTGTTTTCTAATTTGCCACTTTGGAGGACAAAAGTCAGTCATAGGCACCTGAAAGGGAGGGGACCCTGTGTGTGTGGTGGTGGTGGTGGGGGGTGTGAGTTCTCATAGAAGATGGTGACTGCACAAGCCCAAGTTCAGAGAAGAGTTTCTGCTTGTTAGTTTTTAAACTTTTAGCTTCCGAACTCAAAATAGGATTGCTTGGAAGAAGGGGGTAGGAGGGTTCTCGGGTGGATGTGAAGAAGGACCTAAGATTCTCAAAAGTTGGGTGTCATCTGGTCCACAGTAATTTAAGGGTACTTTTTGTTACTGCTTGCTGCAGCTTCAGGCAGGGAATACAAACCACACAACTCAACAAACCTGTGTGGAGTTTATTGGGAAAGGAAGCAAGTTTAGAGTGAGGCTCTGCAGTTGGGGTGGTTGAAACTGGAGTCCTGGAGCTACTGGCCCAGCTCTGAGTGGCCCCAGCTTGCATGGTTTCTGTGTACAGAGTCCTTAGGCATGCATGATGTAGCCATGCAACAGAGGGCCCTTTGAGCTGACTGAGTATCTGTCTGAAGGCTGGTTTCGTACCCTGCCTGTTGTTGGGGCAGGTTCAGCATAATGCCAGGATATCAACACTTTTATCCTGATAATCTGTTGCCCCCTGAAAAAGGATATTGTTTGGCATTTTCTAGTCCTTTATCAATTTTCTTATTAGTCTAGTACAAAAACCATAATCCCAAATCACTCAGTTCATACAGTGCTGTACAGTACTCTTCTACTCATATCTCATTTTGTCGTTCCCATTAAAGGGAAAAAACTAAGAACTTATTAACTTTGCAGATAAAGAATTAGGCTCAGAAAAGTGGCCTGGCCTAGATCCAATATATATATATATATCCCATTTCCCCACAGGAGCACCAGGATTACAGATGCTTCACTATGCATTGCTATTTTATCTGATTCCTAGGTATTCAAACTCAGTTCCTCATGCTCGTACAGCTAGCAGTGTTGTCTATTGAGTCATCTCCCCAGCCACCAGTGCATTTTTCATACATCTCTGTGAAATCAAATCATACCCTGCCCCCTCTCCTCAGGTAATGTTTCTCTCTCTCGCCCAGTGTAAGTTTGAATCTCAAGGACTCACATAAAAGGTCAGTGCACAGTGAGTCATTTCTGGGGTGATGAAACACACTCATCTACTTACCCCATATATGGAGACTACTACAGACCAAAGTATAGATACCACCAGAGTCCAACTTAGTGAACCAATGAGTTTTATTGTTATTTACAGAAATAGGTTATTTACAGGAGCAGGAATAACTCATAGATAGCTTCATCACCAGGCCCAGCATGAGTGACAGCTCGCAAAAGCTAGGAAACTTGGAGCACACTGCACAACCTACAGGCTGCTCAACAGGTTGGAAAGTGTCCTTTCCAAGTAGCTTTGGTCTAAACCTCTTGTAGATCTGATTTTAAGAGTCTTCTTTGTTTGCTAGTTCTGCTTACTTCAGCAAATGCCAGTCAGTTTCCAGAACTTCCTGAAGCTATTTTGAGTTGTTTACTCCCTGGCTTAAGGAGTTTCCCTGCATGATGGAATGTTTCAATCTCACAGGAAACTATTACATAACACCCAGGCTAGTACAAACTCACAGACTCAGGTACTAAGGTGATACTTAGGTCTCAGCCCCAGAAGAAGCTGACACACTGTATTTACTATAAACTATAAACTTAGTCACCAACAAGAGCAGAGACAACTTAATGTAAAAGTGTTTGTATTTTGTATAACCATTGAAAATAAAATAGAAACTAGGTGTGGTAGCACAATTCCCTTTTAATCCCAGTATTTGGGAGGAAGAGGCCCACAGATCCCTGAGTTCAGGCAAGCCTAGTCTACAAAGCAAGTTCCAGGCCAGCCAGGGCTACAACATTGAGACCTTCTCTCAAAAATTAAAATAAAATAAAAATTTGAAGTGGTAGCCGCATAGTTGAGTTATTTTACATTCTAGTTAAAACTGAGTTGTCCATTCAGATTTGTTGTCACTGTGCTTTATGCCTTCTGTCTGAATGTGTGTGCCCTCTAAGCCCCAAGTTCTACTAAAGAAGCAGTATCCAATCCCATTGTATTGCCTACTACAGATAAAGCTCTCATCATTCCAAAAGCGTGTGCTCAGGGCCTCAGAAGATGGCTCAGTGGTAAAATGCCTGCCACACAAACATGAGGACCGGGGTTTGATTGTATCCGTGTGACCAGGGGAGTGTCTCCTTTTCTCCCATCACAGATGTCCTTTTTTTTCTGTGTTAGCCTACCTCTGTCCTTACGATTGCAGATGGCTACGACACAGCTTGAAGGCCATAGGAAAAGAACAAACTTTCTAACAGCCTAAACCAGTGCCTGTTCCTAGCTAAGCCACTGGCCAAGGGGAGGACTGTTTTACCTCCTGAGTCTTAACTGCCTCTGCCTGCAGAACTTGAGTTCAGCCTCACTCCTGAACTGGGTCATTAGAAACGAGAGGAATAAGTTCTCAGAGATAAACAAGCAAAAAGCCACCACAGTCAAGGTTTTCTGATGCCACAATTTTATGGTTTTTTTTTGTTTTTTTTTTTCACGTGCACTCTCACAGAGGCCAAAAGAAGGTTTAGCTGGAGTTACAGGTGGTTGTAAACTGCCCGTTGTGGGTTGTGGAAACAGAACTTGAGTCTTCTGGCAGATCAGCCAGCACTCATAACTCTGACCATCTCTCTCCAGCCCCCTGCACTGAACAAGAAAAGTGAAGGGTTTTTCTCTGTGGGAAGTTCTTACTTTATAAAATGTTTTGTCACTTTGATGTGTGTTTTGTTTCTGACTTTTAAATGTTTCTCTATCACTTGTCCCCTTTTTTTCCCATTCAGAAATATACTAATGCCAATAGTATGTACTCTAGACATTGAAGATATTTTAGAGCCATGATCATACAATATATAGAATCTTACATACACAAGTAAATGTGTTCCTGTAAGAGTCATAGGGGAAGTACATAGACATTTCTCAACGAGAGGTGTGGTCATTGGTCTTTGTGAACTTGATGTAATGACTTTACCAACAAAAAGGGGGTGTTGTGCCAGCAATATGGAACAGTGCAACCACTTTGGTCACCACATGCAGGGAGTGTGTTAGTAACTTGAAGTGCTTTTTTGGGTTATCAAAGCCCAAAAATGAAAATTCCTAATTCTCCCCCCCCCCATTAGCCTGTTTTCCTGCTACAGAGTGCTGACCACTGCAAAATAAACCTAAAATTTTAAATAATTCACTAGTGCCTAACTGCCTGAGTCCAAGGATTCCTTCCTGGGGCAGAGAGGGTCGGGTTTTCTTCAGAACTCCTGTCTCTGAGGGGAGGGCACAGGACAGAAAGGGGAACTGCAGAGCCAACCCAGAAGCCCTGGTGGACTCTGGCACTGTCCTTATTTTCTCCACTGATTCTCTTCTTTCCATTGTTCTTGCTTGTGCACTTTGCAGCCTGGGTGAGTTGAGTTTGCCCCAGTTTGGGATTGCGGGCTGCTCTTCTCTTCCCCATGATGGCTGCTTGTGATTCCTGCGACTTTCCATTAAAGAGACTTCTCTCAAGTATGACCTTAACAAGGTTTCCCAAAGACCGTTTTCCTGCTGTAAACAGCCTGATACAAAGGATCAACCTTAGGAAGCGACGGGACTCGCTCATCCTTGGAGGGGTCATCGGCATCTGTACCATTCTGTTGCTGCTGTATGCGTTCCACTGAAAGGACAGCCCCAGGACTCTGCCCACCGCCTTCATGCCCTGATCTGGAGTGGGGAAATGAGGAAGGAGAAAACTGCCCTGGCTATGAGCCTGGTAGCCAGATGAATTCTAAACTGCACCCATGACTCGGACCTGGTCAGACTGAGCTGAAGCCACAGTTTTCCTGTGCTATCTTTTCTAATACACATTACTCTGTTTTTTAATTTTAAAAACAACAAAAGGTTTTCAGTCGCTTGTGTCTCCCTAGGAGGTAAGCAAGCAGAGGCCGAGAACCTGGGCTTCAGTGACTGGTGAAGCCTGATGACCAGCAGGCCTCATAGCTGGACTCCTCACAGTACCAGGCTCTCCACATCCAAAGATGGCTTTGCTTTCAGCCACGAGATTGGGTGTGAATAAAAATAATTCTTGTCCTTTTATTTAACACTTGTGATGAGAAGTCAGCTGTCCTTTGCTGATACTCGGTGATCTAGATTCTCCTCTGTGTCCCTAATTCTTGGTAGTCAAGAAAAATTCCATTTTGCGACAATTTTGTCAGATGCTGATAGACCAGCTTCATCACATGTGAGGTTGTCTGAAATGGAAAGCTCTGTAGAAAGGGTGTGTCTTTTCTGTTTCAGTTGTGAGCACTAGGTCAGCTGTGCGGCTGGAAACGTCAAGAATGCAGATCTTGCACTGAGGAGCTGGACATTGCTCATTAGTTCTCCCATTGGGTTAGTATATGCTTCTACGTGGTAAAATCACATTACCACTGGACAGACAAACAGCCAGTGTCTGTCATTGCCCTCAGTGGTCCCTCATCCTGTGAAGATTAATATTAGGAACTGAGGGAGGGGACTGTGGCTCTCAGTGAGATCTGCTCACGAGCCACATGTGAGAAGACACTGAAGGGTGGCTCTCCATGTCATTCCATATGACAGTGCTCTTCATCCTGGATCAAAGGCTTTATTACTGTAGCCTGATTCGAAGGAACTCTGCCCTGTGAGGACCTATCATTCCTCATCTGTTAGGCTCTACACCCCCAAGCCATGGTCCCACCATTGAAGGTGCCTGTGACTCCTTTCCACCTATTTATTGCTATGGACAGTGACAGAGATTAAGTGCTTTTCTAGGTTAGCCATTTCTTAGCATCTGAATTTGATAATTTGTCTTACTGAGCTAACAGATATTTTAAAGACATCCAGCGTTTTTGCTCACCGAGAGAGATGGCTGCTAGTCCCCGCTGGCACATCCTCTGGCACCACAGGCAATGAGAGGGTGTTAGGGTGGAGCTCTTCACCACCTCATGGTGTGGGGATGGTGCCGCTGGGCGGACTTGATACACTTAATGCTCATGGATAGACTGACATCGGTCTGGGACTGACTGAGAGGTTTGTCTTCTGGTGTTGAAGTGTTAGTACATTCTGGGTATGAAAGGCATTCGATATATTTTTCTTAATTATGGGGTTTATTTTTCTAAATATGGGTTAATCAGCTTGTTGACTGGGCATGCCCTTAAAAGGAATTTAAATTTCCCACTGTGGACCTTAAAGAATCAGGGAATTTTGTTTGTTAAATTCTCTTTGGGAGAACAGAACTTCTCTTCCCTGACCACTTTATTATCTTTGATTTTTTTCAAAGGGCCTCGATTGGTGGTTGTGCCTCAGCTAGACTTTATGGGACTTTGGTTGTTATATAGTGGGCATATATAAAGCCTGAAGTATACTAAATAAAGTTATTTATTTAAATATATTGCCAGTCTTTTCTACTGGTTTGATTATTTGGTTTGTCCACTAAAGCTGGTAGGGGAGAATAAGCTAGGACAGGGCCTGGTGCCAGGTGGCAGGTGGGCCACCCCAGGAAGCTGTGCTCAGATGAGGGAATAGAATTATGTTGCCTGTTTTCTTTTTGAAATTAAACCAGTTCTTCCAAGGATGCTGAGAATCCTCGCTGTACATGCTGGGGTCTGTCGGAGTTTGCTGACTTCCCCTGTGTTGCCCCAGAGGGAGGGCTGGGCCTACCTACCCTTCCAGTCCCACCCGTTACAGGACCCTGTGGTTGCAGATTAGAACTTCAGTTTTATGACATTTCACTTTTTTCACGTGATCTTCGCTCCTCCCCTTTGAGCTGTCCGTACATGCCCAGTTTTCAGGCTCGGGAGCTGGCAGTTAAGAATTTCTGGTCAGAGCCTCAGGTCAGGTTTTTTGATTTGTGATCCCAATGCAATGTTGCTTCTTAGGAAAGATTTGTTCCTATGGCATCATTTTTGAGAATACCTTTTAAAAAATATTTTTAGTAACCATTCAAAACTTCCCACTTCACTAAAAGATATGAAAAATGGAAACAGCAGAAAATTTAGAGTGTGTGTTTGTCTTGAGAGTATCGCACTATGTAGCCTGCCTGGCCTTGACCTCCTGCCTCAGCCTCTTGAGAACCTTGGACTGCTATCTGAGACATACCACCATGCCTGGCCCCAAGAGTAAAACTCTGCAATTCTGTCTTACTGTGTACCAGTGACTTAGTAAAGATACTCAATAAGTTTTACTGAGATCCAAAAGTATGGATTGTCTGCCCTTGGAAGTCTTGGACTTTAATGATGCCGAAGGATTCTCTGCCACCTGCATTTGTCACCTTTTATTTTTCCCTTCTCCTTGGTACCAAGTTTACTTTTATTGAGAATGTCTTTTTCCTTCCTTCTGGTACTCAAATCAAATGTGGGATCTTCTGAGAGTGGAGACAAGTGAGGAAAGAGCTACCATGAGGGTGCTTGGTACCTAGAACCAGACACCTTGAGCACTTTCCATGCTGGGTGAGGGGAGATGCTCACTGGTCCTGATGCTGTGACCTGGGACCCAGAGTTGAGGGACCTTGGCCTTCACCACCACCATTACTGCCCTGTCTCATTGCTGATGATTGGAACCCAAGGGAGTGGCTCGTAAGAACGGGTATGACCTTTATGGCTTTACCTCCTGTCCTTAACTAGATAAGGTTTTTGGAAATTCACTGAGTTTTCGAACTTGTAATATTAAGTTGTTGGGATTAATGGCTGTGCCCTGGTCATTTGTGGCAAATGTGACAGAAAACAAACCTACTCAAATGACTGTGTGTGCTCCATTCTCCTTGTACAGTAGAGTCTTCCAAAAAGATGTTAAATTCCCAGTGGGATCCCAAACTCGGCTTGCTCATTCCTGTGTGTGCCCAGACATCCCCTTCTCAGGGACCTGGGGACAAGAAGCAGGGTCTAAGCATGGTGTCTGGGCGAGAAGCTGGGGTCTTAAGGATATCTCTCTGTGTCTCCCCCC